CCTATAAACAAGTGGAGCATGGATCTTGTCAACATCGATATAATAAAGGGCACACATCTGCAAGAAACATTATTAAAAGGACTATTGGAAATCTTAAAAGTAGATTTTTTTTATAGATTCTATTTTTATTTTGATCATATGGTGGTTGAGTTGCCAGATTGATCTCAAAAATGTTACGCGCTGTTTTTGATAAAATGAGCCCTTTTTATTTTCTTTAATTTTACTATAAAACTAATGTAAGTATTGTATTTTTTAAATAAATATTGTAAAAACACGTTAAATATTACTTCAGCGTTCTTTTTTAATGGGTACGTGCTCAGAAAAACACGTACGATCTCATTTCGTTTTCAATCCACAAGGCTATATGTGCTCGAATTATATTCCTAATATTTTTTGGGAATTCGGAATGGAGCACACCAAATTTGGGAAAATGTTTCACATTCGTGCAAACTCGAAATGCAGCACATGAGCGTATATTTGAGAATTCGGTTATAATCATACATGGTTTAAGAATCCATCTGAAGAATTCCTACAGTAATGAATCTGTTGGTTTTTGAAAAAAATATATTCTTATAACCCCAATATATAAAACAGCCATGTATAGAAATATGTCAGTTCTTCAAATAATATTCATAGGTAACATCCTCATATTCTTAAAAAACCATACTTTTAACATTCAACAAATATTTTTAACATTCAAAAAATATTTTTAACATTCAACAAATATTTCTTAAAAATCTTTCACCAAAAATATTTATAAACCAGTAAGCGGAGTAGTATACTCGGATGGCACCGACCATATGATACCCTACACAACTACCGCTGAAGTCAAAGTTGCCTCGATCTATATTCCGACACTATTTACCGGTATTTGTACCCCTTGATGGATTATAGGTCAAGATCTCCTCTTTCTAACCCTGACATATTTTCCAAATGTTGTTTTCTCAAGGTGAATATTTACAACATAAAATACAAAATTGGTTGTTGTTGTTGTAGCAGTTTATATGAATTTTATATTTCCTGTTAAATTTCCTCCAGTTCTGTCTCCAAATTTAGAAATGCAGCTACCTCCACTGGCTGTAACCACAGATGAGGTGAGTAGGTTTGGTTGGGCAATTGAACAAGTGCAGTGTGGTATGAGGGCCTGTACCACATGCTGGGCAGACATCCTGCACCTGGTCATCAATCCGTGCCCAATACGAATTGCGCCGACTGCACCATCCAGAACGTAACTGAGCCAAAACTACTCTGGGTTGTCTGGGCAGCTGACGTTCGTCAGCTGCAACGTCACTGTAGGTATTGGTTGTTTTGGCCCTCGGAATATTGACCGATCATCATCTAAACAGTCGTTCTAAATATTTGGTCAGATCCCCTCACCGAAAATTATAGGTGTCGTCCTTGACCAAAACCAGAACGTCATGTAAAAAAGCTCGAAATTTACCAAAAACAATAGGGGTCTTCATTGACCAGAAACCATCTGTCATGCCAAATTTCCTGACGATTGGTCCATAACCTTGGTCTGTATTGTGGTTACAAAAATGGACAGACTGACGGACTTATCACCAATAGATAGTATAGGACCAATATTTCTCTGAATTACAAACTTTTGGGACCACACATAGCTATAATACCCTTACAACATAGTTGTGTAGGGTATAAACAAAAATTAAAAATCCATACCTGTAGAATTAAAAAATTATTCTTTAAAATTTTCTATTAATCTTTAAAAAAATATTCTTTAAAATTTTCTATTAATTAAAAAAAAATTCTTCAAAATCCGCGCTTATAGCTCTTCTGGTGCTTCAAAAAATATTCTTTAAAAATACACGTTTATAACTCTTCTGGTCCTTCAAAAAATATTCTTTATAAATCCACGCTCATACCTCTTTTGGTCCATCAAAAATATTCTTTAAAATTGACGCTTATAGCTCTTCTGGACCTTCAAAAAAATATTCATTAAAAATTGACGCTTATAGCTCTTCCAAAAAAATATTTTTTAAAAATCTACGCCTATAACTCTTCTGGTCCTTCAAAAAATATATATTTTTTAAATCCCGCCTTTAGATTTTCTAGTCCTTCAAAAAAAAAATTAAAAATCCACGCTTAAAGTTTCTCCAGTCCTTCAAAAATATTTTTTTAAATCCACGCTTCCAACTCTTCCAGTCCTTCAAAAAATATTGTTTAAAATCCACGTTATAACTCTTCCATCCCTTCTAAAATATTCATGTAATAATAAACCCTTAATCCCTTAATCCAAATAAAAGACATGTTTTTATTTGTTTTTAATATTCACTTTTTAAACATTTTTATTTTATTTATTCAGCAGTATATGCGTTGTTTTATAATGCATATTATATATTTTTATATATATAGTTCACAACAACTGTTGATATTATAAACTAAAATTAAAAAAAAATTAAAACTAAAAATTTAATTCATTTTTTTCGATCATTTTAAAATAATTCATTAATAATAGAGCTTATAAAATAGGGGAGGTGTTTTTTTTCTTTAAATAATAAAAAAAGATCAAACAAAAATGTTTTCCAATGGAAGAATGAGAAGCAGGTTATCATTGGTGATATAAAAATTAAAGTAATTTAATCGTAAAGCCAAATTAAAGTTATAGTGGGGGTGGGAGTCATGTCAAGAGATTGAAACTACTAAGACTACATGGTAGTAAAAAATAAAATAAAAAATTATTACATACTAACTAAAAAAAAGTAGAGTGTCAACACTTTTGGGTGGGTTGGACGAACGATCGATCATATGTTTTCTTCTTCAAGTAGAACATAAATCTAAAGATCAAATAAATTAAAGCGCAGCAGTTGTTCTTGAGGGTAATATCAAAAAATAATAAAATTAAATTATAAGGAAAAAAAGTAATCCAAGGTTAACAAAGAATTCTAATTAAAACTGGGGGTAAATAGTTTAAAACAAATAATTGCTATTATGTGTGTGTGTGCGTCTGTGCATGTGAACTTAAAATTATACTATTGTTGTAGTTTTTTTCTTTTTTAAAATAAAATAATAATAAAACCATCACCATTGATTGCACAATTAACCCGATGATTATGTTTCATAAAAAAAATCTATATAAAATGAAATTGGAAATACTACACCATGTACCTCCGTTATGTGGCCACAATTCGTGTTGCAGTATTTTTTAGAATTTAAAGAGAAATCTTTTGGATTTGTTTTTTGTTTTCGAAAAGATTTCTTTTTGAATTCCCTATACATGTGTTGTGTGTGTAATTTGTATTTTGCTGTTTATAAACAAAATAAAATACAAGTTAAATTTATATATATTTTTAAATTATATATCTTTGCAAGTAAAGCTGTTTTTCATATTGTTGTTGTTGTTTTAAACTTATTTTAAAATAAACAAAAAATAATCAGTTCTCTTAAACAATTAGTAATATAACAAAGTAAAAGGAAAAAATGTTTTTTTCATTCATTTATGAACAGCAAAATATTGAAAATAAAATTAAGAAAGGAATTAAAACTAAAATATATTTTTTGTTGTTGTTTTAATATGTATATTTTTATATTCAACTTTAATATTATGTTCTATAAACTAATATAAATTATAATAAAGCAATAGATTGTTTTGTTTTTTTTTTATAAGGCCTCTTGTGAGTTTTGTTTTTGTAGTTGTTTTTTTTTTAGAAAATTGGAAGTCGTTTTGAAAGGCTTGAAATATACAATGATTGGAGGAAGATGTTGTAATAATCTTAAGCTAATTTAATTTTAACATGATAATTATTAACTAGTAATGTTAAGTGTTTGGTTTTTTTTTGTTTGTTTTCAAATAAATCAAAATTAAATTAAAATTTAGAAAAAAAACTGAAAAATAATAATTAAAATTCATTAAAAACAAATAAAATTCATTACATTTAATTTCTCCAAAAGAAACAAAAATAAATTATAATTCATGAATTCTTAGGGGAAAACAGTTAACTCAAGAAAATTCACAGAAAAATAAAATTTCAAATTTTCTGCATTAATTTTTAACATTCAAAATAATGAAATTAGATAAAGAAAATTGTGTTCAATAATCCACAAATTTCCTTATTTTTTTGTTTAAGTTTTAATTTGAATAATTTTATGAGGTTCATTGTATACTTATGTGTTAAAGGAAAAAATCAAAATTAAAAATTTCTTAAAATTACAAAGAAAAAAAGAAAACACTTTACAAAAGAATTTACATTAAAAAAATAATAAAAAGAAGGTGGTGAGAAGAAAATAAAGTTTGTACAAAAATTCCAGGTGATGAGAAAGGGAATGTCCCTTTTTCAAATCCCTTAAAGAAAAGAAAAAACTATTTACATTTTGTTTAAATCATTAATAAAATATGAATTTCAAGTAAAGATAAGATAAGATAATGATTGTTGTTGTTGTTCGAGGAAAACTTTAAAAGCTTCACACAAAAAAATTGTTTTCAAAATTAAAGCAAGGTTTTTGTTTAAACATCAATATTAAAAAAAATATCATCACTTAACCTAAAAAATTAAATTGACTTAAAATTAAAAAAAAATAAAATAAATTTGACTTTCTTTTTTTAAATCAATTCATATAGGTGTATATGTATATACTAAATAATTTATAGATAATTTGGTGAGAGAATGTTAATTTTCGGTGTATTTTTGTTTCCTATATACATATTTGCTCAGCAAAATGTTACAAGGGGAAGTAGGTGTGAATGTGTGTGGTGGAGGACAAATCAAAATCTAATTTCAAGTTTTTTCAAGATTGTAAAGCATTAGTATCAAAATAAAAATAATATTGTTTAACGATAAATTAAAATTAAATATATATGTATGTTGTATATCAAAAAAAAAAAAAAAAAATAATCTCTGATTTTTTATATAAGGCAGTTTTTTCTTTCAATTTAATTTTTGTGTTTTTTTCGGTTTTTGTAAGATATAGTTTTTTTCAAGTTGTATACCATTTTTTGTTGTGGTTTGTTTATTTATTTTATAGAATTATGTTTTTGAATATCTTACAAACTAATTATGCACCGGCATTGGCAGTTGTCCAAGTAAATTATTGGCAAATTGTGAGTTATTAAATTTGAAGTGTCTTTTGTCGTAGAATTTCAATAGGGCCGGTGAATAGGGATGATTCTCTTTCAAGTGAATATAATGAACCTCTGGTTCGCAGGTGGTGTGGCCACATTCCTCGCAGACATACATCTATAAAATAAAGAAAGAAAACATTGATAAGTATTTTCAATGGTATAAAAATGATTTTTAAATTTTAACAATTTTTCTTTAGAGGATAACATAAAAGGGACTTTCTTAAAAAATAGGGTATGCCATAAGGTGGAGAGTATATAAAATTTGTCATTTCGTTTGCGATACATTGAAATATTCAACGGAGATCCCACATAGATAGAGTTCGCAATATTTAATATAGGGATCTGAAATTTTGCACAGTCATTGCTAGTACTCCTAGGAGGTTTGGTGTGGCAAAGGGAATATATCGGTCCATGTTTCAGGGTAGCCACCATATAATGGTACCCCCCCAATATTCGGTATTTTGGCGATTATTGACACTTTTTTTCAACCAATTGGCTGTAATTTAGTATTTCGGATTCTCAATGTAAAAAATATCCCCATACCAAAAATTATTAATATTGACCCATATAACGGTACCACCCAATATTCCCCGTTTTTGTATAGCCCCATGTAACATTGACCCCACTATTCAGTATTTTGAAAATTAAAAACATGTTTTTGCCCACGTCTTTTTCGGTATGTTCAAGAAACCCCTATCAGTTCTCACTTCAAAAAGAAAAATAATTAAAAAGAAAAACAAAAATACTATTTTTTGTCAACATCTACTTACCTTAGTCCGTCTCTCCTTATACGCATACTGATGCTGTACACTGTGCACCTTTAAACAGTGCGATTCCAATGAACATCTTTGGGTAAAACTCTTCTCACATAAATTACACTTGTACGGACGGACACCGGTGTGGGTGCGAGTGTGTCGTTTCAAATCGAATGTATCATTGAATCCTTTGCCACAGAACGTACACAAATAACGTTTAATTTCCGAATGACATTTCATGTGACGATTCAAGAGACGCTTCAGTGAAAATGATTTCAAACAAATGCGACAAACGAAATTGTTAGATTCTTGGCTATTTTCACTATTGCTACTGGGATTACTACAATTGCTGCTGCCGTTCATGCTGCTGGCACCTCCGATCCCACTGCTGGCATCTGCGATAAGTGATGGTTTCTTCATATCATCTAAACAATCAATACTGCGTATACGATGATGATGGCCATGGGTATTTTCAATGGCCAAGGGGTTCTTAATGCCATGACCGCCATTGACAAATTCCAATTGAACCTCTGGCGGTAAGCCCAGCTGTAAAGAGAAAAGAAAATAAAATATAAAAAAAAATTCTTTACAAAATAATTAACAGCACATATATAAAACATATTTACAAAAGGTTACGTCGTATTATCGCAGTCAAAATTTGAGTGAAGAAGGTGCGGTGTGTTAGGGCAACGAAGTCGTAATCTATAAAGGTCAGCAGCAATGTGACCAAAAAATAAATGGGTATTTTTGTAAACTACTATGCAATTTTCAAATATAATTTGAATTGGGATTTAAAATCTCTCATATCAATTTAAAAATAATAATAAAATATTTAGTGAAATCTTAAAATCAATTCAAATTTAAATAAAATACATTAAATTAAAATGACATATTCTATATATTCTAAATATATAAAAAAATATTTAAAGTTTTAAAAACTTAAAAGCAAATAATTTTTAAACCCTTTTAATTTTCAATATTTAATTTTTTAGAAAATTCCATCATGTATTTTTAAATTATATTTAAAAATTGCATAGTCGTTTGCATAGCATGGAACAAAGTCATTAAATTTCATAAATTAAAAAAATAGTAACTATTATTTTTTTAATAAAAAAATAAAAAATTAAAATTTCTTTTCAAAACAAAAAATAATAATTGGACAATGCTTACCCGCTGCTGTAGCACTTTGCTTTCATGCAGCTTAGCAACAGTGGGAGAAGTTAAATTTAGAGAAGCCGCAGCGGCAATTAAATTTAAAGAACGTTTTTGCTTGCCAGCAGTGGACGATGACGACGACAACGAACAAGTGGAGGAGGACGACGATGACGAACAATAATTATTGGGACTTACACTTTGTATTATCGGTTTGGTATCCAACAATGATGTATCCAATATAGCTGAAGCTGAACCCGATGATGTATTACTGGCAGCCGATGACATTGGATGATGGCCTTGTGATGGTATCATCATATGACCATTGGCAGTTGTTGTGGCAGAATTTGTTGCTGACGAATTGGGTGAGGGCAGTGATAGATTGCTGTTATCACTATGATGTTGTAAATGGTGAGGATGTTGATGATGATGGTGATGATGAGCAGCAGCAGCAGGTGGGCCACCATGTTGTTGCGATGGATGACCACCATGATGATGGTGTTGATGATTAAAATGTTGTTGCTGCTGCTGTTGGTGATGTTGCTGCTGATGCTGATGTTGTTGAGTTGATTGTTGATTTAACGAAGGATGTTGTAGTTGTTGCTGCAGTTGATGATGTTGTAGCTGATGATAGTTATTACCATGTTGTTGCTGTTGTTGTTGCTGGTATTGTTGTTGTTGCATTAAAATATTATTTTGGCTTAGCAGATTATTTAAAGGTGGCTGTGAAGAGCTGTTGGTACTGTGTCCATAGTTGTTTTGTTGCTGAGGCTGCTGTTGCATTTGCATCATATCTCTGGTGGCATGTTGATAAGAAGGTGGAGGTTGTTGTTGCATGCTATGATGTTGCTGTTGTTGCTGCTGCTGCGGCCTCTCATACGGAGCATAATTGCCAGCAGTCTGTTGAGTCCGACCCATATTATTAGTCAATTGTTGCATTAAATTCTCATGGAAAGAATCCAATTGCGAGTTCGTTGAATTATGACAATCTACCGGGGTAATGGACACCGAGTCGGGTGTTAACGAAGGAGTTGAGACCAGCTCAAAATCTTGACGCGGTGATGTGGAATTCTCATCATCGACACAATTACGTTGCAGGAATGAACTCAAGTCCACGGCATCGGATAGCTGTTCCAACAAATGATCCGTTTGCGAGGACAACATCAGCGTGGCAGTGAATTGCAAGGGATCAACTGTACCATTGGGCCCCTGGGCCGCCGATGCCAAATCAGACATAATAGCATCTTCATAGGCCGAAGCATTGAAATTACCCGAATTCCCCATAGTTGCCTGAATGATATTCTGAGCAAAGGCTCCAATATCAATTTTGGCCTCATCATATTCAATGTCCGGCTCATCCTTGAGAATGATACCATAAGCTGAGGGATTGGGTCCATACGGCAGATGTGGAGGATAATGTTGCGGTGATGAAGTCGAGGAGGGAGAAGAAGGTTGGTTATATTTAGCGCAGTGTGCTAAAGAACTGTAAGGAAGAGAATTATTACCGTGGCCATTAGCAAATAACATGCTAGAGGCGGACGAGGGTGTTTGATCCAATGAAGATCCGGAGAGGCTGGCTCCAACCGGTGAACCACCACCGCCGCCGCCACCACCCATGTTGTCACCACCGCCTAAGGGATATTGTTGACCACCACTACCACCGCCATTGCCAGCGGCAGACATTAAATAAGCTGCCGCATTTTGTAGCAAGAAATTCGAAGATGCTGTGGAATTAAAATTGGTAGTCGAGGAACCATTCATGGTGTTGCCACTTTTCAGTGATTCATAGAAAGGTGGCAAAGCACCAGATGGTGGTGAATTGGGACCATAATTACCACGACCATCACGTCCGCCACCCATTCCGCCACCTGCTCCTCCGCTAAGACCTCCTGATCCGCCGAAACCCGTGGGAGAACCACCGCCGCTGGAGGGTTGTTGTGAACCAGAACCGTTGGAGCTGCCAAAACCACCCTGGAAACCTTGTCCTTGATTACCGCCGTTCGAACCCGATGTTGTGCGACCGTGTCCAGCAGCTGCTGCCAATATGCCGGGCAAGGAACGAATAAAACGTGGATTAACTCTGGCCTGAGCGAGAATGGTGCGGGCAGCCAACAAAGCACTGCGACGTCTAGCTTCTCTTAATTTGCGTTCTCTTTCCAAACGCTTGGCGTTCAATTGTTGCTCCTCGTCGTCGTTATCGAGCGTAGACTTTCTACGTGGTACGTGATAGTCGATGGGTTCCTGTTGCTCGGGACCCAAGTGTTCCAAATTTGACAAAGGTAAAAGGACTTCGTGTGAGCGTCTTCTTTGGTTTTCTTCCAAATTTGAGGGTGTCCTCTGTATAACACTACACCTTACTGCCGGTTCGGGACAAGGTGGTGGTGAAGGTCTTTGATCTTCTGGAGGTGGTGTAGAACGTACACGCAACGATAGGGGTTGTTCCTCGGGTACTAAAGGTTTCTCATCGACAATCAGTTTTGAACCATCATCTGAGTCGCTATCCGAATCGGAATTATCATCAATGATGGAGGAGGGAGGTTGCTGCTGCGGCTGCTTATTTTTCAAGACCTCACTTTGAATTTTTTGTACAATCTCCAAAGGATATTCTTTGCGTTGGGCTTGGGTCAAAACAACATTGCCAATGAGAGATTTATTGTACGACGAAATGTAGCGATGTTTGGGCGATGCAGATTTGGGAGAATCGTTTTGTTCTTCCACTGCTGCTTGTGGAAGATCTTCAGCCTTTGGATTTGAAACTTTGGGTAAAAATTCGGTGGTGATGCAGTCTTGTTGGTGGTGTGGTGGTGATGCTGTTGTTGGAGGAGGAGATGGTGATGCACGGGAGGAAATCACAACGTTGCTTTGGGCAGGTGGTGATGGTGTACGTGAGTGATGAGCTTCTGCTGTGTTGGTGGTAGTGATGGAATGGTTGATGCTGCCGCCGGTGGTGGTGGTGACCTCTGGGGATAAACGATCTTTGCCCTCGGCCAAAGATGTGACAGGACCAACTGTAAGAGAGAGAAGAAAAAACATGATTAGATTAGTATAAATCGAAATTAGAGTGATAAATATTATTAAATAAATTAAAAACTTTCTTTAAAAAAATCACGTAATGGAACTTTTCAAAATGGCCGCTGTGTGTTTCTACTTTGGGGGCAAAATGTGTGTTCAAATCCTAGAAAAGTGCAAGGTAATTAATTGTCCAAAGAAAATGTGCAATTTTATTTAATTTTTATCAACACTTTTTTGTTTTTAATTTCACTGATCCAAAGGACTTTATATAATTTGGGGGATAATGGTTTTTGCGCGAACAAATCACGTTTCTTCAGGTTAAATGCAAACGAAATTCTATCTGTTGCAGTTTTCTAATTGCTTCTGTTGTTCAAAAAACATAACTGTTCTTTTGCGACATCTCTTTTTGTCTTTCGTTATATTGTTGTTGGGGAGAGAGAGAGGCAATGGCATTGCCAGATGAGAATTATTATTGGACATATATTTTGTTGTTAGACGACGCTTTGTTTGTGTGGGGGGTTGTGAGAGGGAGAGTGCAATGCAAATTTCAGTGGAGTTTTTTAGCGTTTGTTTTGGCATGGAAAAACAAATTAAAACAAGATATTTGATTAATTCATTAGGAATAAACACAATGATTACAGTATAATAAAAATCACTTGGGGGTTTTCTAGTAGTTTTATATATTTATATTTGATATCACTTAATTCTTGATAGAATTTGTTTTAAATTGGTGGAGTTTTTTATTTAAAATTTATGGATATATATCCAATAATTCCCTATAGAGTTTTGTCATTTGTTATTGGTTTACAAACATTATTGCATTCCCCCAAAGAAGGTGTATCATGCAACTGTGCTTAACGGTTGTAACGGATTATTATCCTTCTGCCCACAAAATTAACAATTTTTTCTTTTAATTGTTATAAATTTTATTTTAATTATCTCACCATTGCCACAAATATTACAAAATAACACATAATTCCATTTATATGGTTTTATAATTAGAAAATGATTTTGATGCTTGGAATTTTCTTGATTTTTTAAATATTTTTGCAAAATAATTTCATTAAACATTTTTATGCCAAATTATTTTATTTCAGTAATATTTATTATTAATTTCAAATCACTTTATACACCAATAGACTGCATCAACACTAATTTCAATAAATAATTGATACGAATTTATTAAATTAATAACACTTCTTGAATTATTGTAAAAGGCTTTGTGGAAAATTAGCGGTTTTGAAAACGGCATTTTCTTTCTTTACTGAATTCAAAACCAAACAAACAAAACTGTTGCTGCTGTTATCAATTGCAGAAAAAAACAACAAAAACACCTTTGCTGCACTCACGCTAGTAATAAGAAGTCAGAGTTGAAAAGAACTATATTCACGGCGTTAAATTTGATTTTGTGTGCCGTGCAAATATGCTATTTTGCAGAGTTGGATGTGGGTTTGATATGGAGTTTATGGGTAATTTGCATTGAAATATCATTAAGAAAAATGCAAATTAAATTGCAAGTAAGAAGGAAACTAAAAAAAGGAAATATTTTTAGAAAAATTAGGGGTGCTTTAGGTTGAATATACCATAAATAAATAAGATTTTTCTTTAAAGATTACGTTTTCGACTAAAATTGCCATAATGGATATTAATTATGAATTGTTGTCTAGAAAAATATATGCTACATTTTATAGACTTCTAGGTTGGCCATAGTGTTTGAATTTCATTGTTTTATTTATTTAATTTCCACAATTCCGACTAATTTGACTTTTCCTATTAAATCATTGAGAAGAAGATTGTTTATAAATGTATAACAATAAAACAATATTAATAAAATACATTTATTATTATTATTTTAATTAAATAATTTAATTTTACTTTAAAACATACTAGTTTTAGAACATCTTAAACGGTTAACAATTTATTAATTTCATTCTTCTTCTTGTTATCACACATCAAAATATTGGCAACTCTGCTTTTGTGTCTCTTTAGTTTTTTCAATATTTCTCACATTGGCCGGTCGTGTCACTTTAGTCGTTAGAATAAAACCGTATATTTCTTAATTAAAACAAGTGTTAATTTTTATAAATTCAATAAAAAGTGATTTGTCAATATTTTCTTTAAAAGTGAAAACCATTTTAAAGCTTTAAAATGTATTATTTTCTATGTAAACATTATTTGCAATCAAATTCATATGTGAAAGAGTGTATCTTCTTCTTTCAATAAGTGTTATTCACCACGGACTGTTAACACCTTTCAATATTGTGACACTTGCATTGGCCGTTCAAGTCTCTGCCGTCGTTAGAAAGCAAAACGCAATTTTTTATAATAAAATTGGTCTAAATTGTTATAAAAACAATTAAAAGGTGATTAGAAAATATTTATTTAGTGTGGGCGCTTCATTTCCGTTGAAAAAGTAATAAAGTCATATGTGAGAGAGTGTATCTTCTTCTTTCAATGAGAGCTATTCACAATGGACTGTTAACACTCGTAGTGGCAGGGTTTTGACTGCCCGTTGGGTGGCATTTAGTTGTTTCTTACACCACATAACATAAAAGTGAATGGAAAAGTGTATGAGGAATACAGAAAAGTGTTTAATTAAATAAAACAATAAGAAAACATATTATTTTAAATGCAGAGTGTAATGGAAACATATAAAAAAGAAAATTGTGTTTATGCTTGTCCATTAAAGTTCAAGTGTGTGAATGAGAGGGAGAGAATAACAACAGTACCAACATATAATCTCTCTTTAACGTTTTGTTGTGCTGATCATTTTAGTGAAGACAAAAACAATGTGTGTTGTTGCCATTGTTGATGTGCTAGTGGTGGGAGAGAGTGCAGTTTGCTGGAGAACATTTAGAAGAGCGCCATCATGTTGTGAGCAAAGGTACTGTCTGGTTGTGGCGTTTTTGTTTTTGTATGTGATTCAGCAATAAATAGTGGGACAAAATGGTAGCAAAAGGTTTGTGTATTGAATAATGAAGTGTATGAAAACAGTGTTGGAAAATGACTAATAGCCACTAACAATGGAGCAATAGTGCAAAATAAATGGAAGAAATTAAAAAAAAAAAAATTTAAATGGAGAAGGCAATTGAAATCTCAAGAGGTAAGCATATTCATGTGATATTTGTTTAATTTTGTTCTTTTAAGTAGAATAGCCATGCTTTTCAAGTATTATTTTGTGTATTATAAATTGCGAAGAGAAATTCAAAAAGAAATAAAAAATAATCAAAACATCCTAAGCTTGAATTCCTGATAGCGTGTTTTGCAAAAATGCTCAAAAGAACAAACGCGAAAAAATGTACAAAATAACCGAATTTTATTCTAAGTTTTGTGCTTGCTAATTATGATGAGGTTGCCTTTGACGTTCTTTCCGTGGTCTGCCTGGTTGGTTATACCTTTAAGTGTTATAGGCTGTTTTTTTGCAGAACCGGTTTCTGCCGTTCTCACATGAGTTGATTGGCAAAAAAATGGATTAATGTTACTTTCAAATAATAGACTACACATGTTCGACAAAGATTTATTTTTGAGGTTTTGATATAGGCTTTTGCGGAAGTGTTTATTGGGGAGTAAATTGACAACGATGACGAATAAAAAAATTAACAAATTTTCAAAAATTCAAATACAAAAATCAAAACATTCGAAACAAATATATACAAAATATTTTTTTTCAGTTTGAAAATTAAAATCAAAAACAAATGAAATATTTTTTTTAGTTAGCTTATATCTAATCCATTTAAACCCCGTCATGGAAATGTTTGTTGTAATTGTGTGTTTTTTCCTCATTGTTTTACAGCTTTAAGTATTTACCTTTATACTACTAATAGTTATTATATTTGTTTAATGTATACCTTTTTTGTTTGCTCTACTACTACAACTACTATGGGTATCTATGTATGTATATTCATTTTTATTGTGTTAAGGTCAAGGTGTTCGGAACACAACACAACAACAACAAAATATTATTATTTGTTCCAAGTATAGAGTAACGTTGTAATGAAAGTCTATATTGCTGTTGTTGTAATACACTTTTTTGCTGTTGTTTTTGTTTGTATTGTCTCAAGTTCGGCTTGTTTGGTGTGTTAACGAAAATGTTTAAGTTGAACAAAAAAACTATGTGTCTAAGTCTAACTTTATTAAAAAAAACGGACTAGGAAATACTTTTAGCTATGGTTGTTGTTATTGCTATTAACCTTCAACAAGGTTTCATTTTCATTTATTTATTTTAGTTTTTTTACTTTACATTATTGTTGTTTTTATTGTTTTTTTGTTGGTTGACGACGACCACGTAGCAGCCATAGTAATCATCGTCGTCATCATTTACTGTAGAATCTCAAAATCCAACTCCCTTCCACCCCTGCGATTCCCCTTATTATTTTCCTATACTATTAATTTTTCTCTCAACATCTCTACGTTTGAGAATTTGTTATAGTTTCATTCAACTATTTTAGATTTTTTTGTTTTCAAACCAGATTTTTTGTTGTTGTATTTGAATATTGCTTTCCACTAGACTAACAACAAAGGGCAGCAAAAATCTTAAACTTGTATATTTGCGCGATTCCATTAATAGATTTATGTAAATTTGCACCTGTGTAGTAGAAATGTGAATAGCAACAAGAAGAAGAACAACAATAATAAAAATAAAATCAAAAGAAATGTGGTAATAAGAAAAAAGTGACGATTAGAAAAAATGTTTGTTCTAAGAAAGTGAAAAAATATATTTTACTTCGAAGGGTTTTGGTATTGGATAGAAGGGC